ATAGATAGATAGATAGATAGATAGATAGATAGATAGATAGATAGATAAAGAGGGCTCCAAAGGACTCAAGAAGGAAACACACATGAAGCTCTGGATCCCATCTCCTGAACTACAAGTGGAAACCCACAGGGTAGTTCCTTTTGCAAAGCCTTCCTTTGTAGCCCAAGCTGTCCTAGAATTCACTATCTAGCCTCAAACTTGATATCCACCTGCCTCGGTCTCCCAAGTGCTGGAATTACAAGGGTGTGCCATCATGCCAGACTAGAAAGTAGTTTCCACCAAAACCAACTGGGCAACAGGAACACGCGCTGCTGGGCCTAAGTAAGAGGAAGACTGAAAGAAGCCTCTGAATTTAGCAACTGGGTCACCGGCAAGACACACTGCAATGATGTGGCGTGGCCAGAAGCCAAAATGGAGTGGAAGAAGGATGAATGGAGATAAAGAAGTTGTAACAATAAATATGAGGCAGTTCTTAAAAGCCTGGCTGAAGCCGAGTATGGTGGCACACACCTTTAATGCCAGTACTCAGGAGGGGGGTGGGGGGATCCCCAACTGCAGGCCAGCCTGGTCTACAGAGCAAGTTCCAGGACAGCGAGGGATACACACAGAAACCTTGTCTTGAAAAACAAAACTTTCCTGGGTGGTCATGCAGACCGGAGATGAGACATGGGATATTTCCCACACCGGATTCCCAGGATGCCCGTCCATGTACTCTGCACACAAATGTCAAGTGGGTTTGAATGTGGTGCTGAGCTGTGAAGCCAGAGCAGTCCTCAAATAACATCTGAGAGTGGGCGATGGAAGAAGAACTTAGGGAGACCCAAGGCCTCATCCCCGAGGCACTCGGGGTGACAAAGAAGAAACTGGGGAAGTAGGAAAAGAACTCTCGCTTCAGAGCACCTCTGCTTGGAGCTCATATAATGAAGAGTGTCTGCTTGGCCAAGCTTGTCAGGCCCATCTGCGCACATCCTGGCAGAATCCAGGTCCAGCACAGAGTTTTCTCAAGTCAGTCTAGGAAGCACTCCGGACTGAACTGGGATGTCTCAGATGAGGTTTTTCATCCTCTACCAGCGTGCACGGATGCTGACTCACTCCATTCCTTGGCGATTCTGACAGGCCAGTTTAGCCAGAACCCCCATGTGTGGGGTGATTCCACTTAGTTATTTCCACCCATCAACACCCACCCAGCTGCTCTGCTATAAACTCAGAACCAAGCTCTGTCTCTCTCCCCTAGTGCCAAACCCTGCAGAGAATGAATGGTCCTGAATAACAAGTGTCATTACATAATTTCTTCAAAAAGTCTCTGCTAAGCTAAGGGAAAGCTGGCCTTCTGAAGCAGGACCTGGCAAAGTGCTTGCTTTGCAAGGAGGACCTGAGGTTGGTATCCATTACTCACTTCTTTAAAAAAAAAAAAAAAAAAAAAAGAATTAAAATTTAAATTAATTAAAAATTTTTCAATTTAAAAATATTAATTAAAAATTTTTCTTTTAAAAGACAAAATGCCAGCCGGGCATGGTGGCCTATGTCTTTAATCCCAGATTTAATCCCAGGCAGGCAGAGGCAGACAGGTTTCTGTGAGTTTGAGGTCAGCCTGGTCTACAGAGCTAGTTAGTTCTAGGACAGCCAGGGTGATTATACAGAGAAACCCTGTCTCGAAAAACAAACAAACAAACAAACAAACAAAGTCACACATCTTTAATCCCAGCACTCTTGAGGCAGAGTTAGGTAAATCTTTTGAATTCAAGGCCAGCCTAGTCTACATAAAAAGTTCCAGGTTAGCCAGGGATACATAATGTGACCTATCTTTTTTTTTTTTTTTTTTTTTAAGTCAAGTGTGGAGTTCACTGGCCAGCCAAACTAGCCAGCTTGGGGAGTTCCAGACCAGTGAGAAACCTTGTTAAACAAAAAAAAAAAAAAAAAAAAAAACACCAACCAACCAGGTAAACACACATAGAGAGAGAAAGGGAGAGAAAGAGAGAACGAGAGAACCTTCCAGATCTTGGCATAAAGTTACTCTTCTAATCTCGGGACTTGAAGAAAACGACGAGAACAAAACTGCTACCCCTCCTACGGTTAGAAACAGGGCACACAGGCCTCCCAAAGCGCCTTTCCCAAGCACCACGGGTTCCCAGAGGGTTGGCGGAAGAAACCCCGGAAGAAGCCAACAGGAACCTGCAACCAGAAGCCACATTTTCGGACGACCTCTCCGCAGTGTCCGGGGGAGAACGAGGAAGTGGAGTTCACGAAAACAGAGAATCCGGGTCTGAGTCCGTGCACCAGTCACCGACCCGCACCCTGAAAGCCACGGGGGCGCCAAGGGACGAGCTCGGGAACCACTCAGAGGAGACTCACTCAGCGGGCATGGGGCCAGGCCTGAGACCTCGGGCAACCCGGGGACCTGCGCCTCCGCGGAGCCCACTCGGAGAAACCAGACTGGGGCGAACGGGGTCTCCAGGTTCCAGGGTCTCCCACCTAGCTCGGCGCACGGACCTGCCCCCGTCCCCCACGCCGGGTCTCACCCACTCGCGCGGTCCTGAAAGCATCGGGGAACTCAGCGACGGGCTCACCGGCCTTCGCCCGGACGCCGCGGGCTCCAAAAGGCGCGGCACGGTGGCCGGCAGGGGGCGCTGCCACCGGGGACAATGCAGGGCGGGGGCGCCGGGCACCCCCAGCCCAGAGCCGCGCGGCGGGAAGGAGCGGACGCCGGGAAGGGAGGGAGACACGCGGCGGCGGCGCGGGGGCGGGGCGGGGCCGGCGGGGCGG